AACGGGGTCGCTCACGCAGCAAGGTCCGTTGGGGCAGGGCATGGCGAGAGCTTCATTCTTCGACCTCTCGGCCGAAAGAGCGACTCCCCCCTAGTGCGCCCTAAAGCGCCCCAGATCCGAGCTCCTCTCTTCCTGAGGTGCTCGTTCGGGTCTCCGCTTGCGCGGATTCCCTCCTCCACCGCGGGCGGGCGAGACGCCCTCGGGAGCGACCCGAGGATGCGTCCGCCATTCGCGGGAGCCAAACCGGAAGCCCGGGTGATAGGAGTATTTTTAACCCGATTAGAATGTTTGTCTGTTTTCTAGACCACTGATTGTAATTAATATATTTGCTAATTGGTCAGTTCTGTCGTACTGTGAGTCACGGTGATGGAAGGGGGAAGCAGAGAGACAGGGGGATGGAAACTACTAACATCATTTTGGGTGCCAGTCTTGGGCTGGGGATCCCACTACTCTGGGGCAAAGGAAGGTGGGGTGGTGGGAAACGGTTATGGCATGGAAGGAGATGGAGATATGGATATCTTCGGTCTCTTTCCAACCTTCGTCCCATCCCGAGACACGTTGGTGTGTAGGCTAGGACATTAAACTTCCCTTTGACACTGATGTTGTGCGATGCCAGATCCGTAAACAATAAGACCAGAACACTGCAAGATTATGTTGCAGCGCAAAATGTGAATCCGGCTTGTGTGACTGAGACCTGGGTTAGGGAGGGCGAAACCGTTGCCTTGAAAGACCCCCCCCCCCGGGTTTTCAGTCCTCCATCAGTCTTGAACTTGGAGGTGGGGGGGGGTGAGGTGGCATTACTCCCCCAGGAGGCTTTCTCCTTCAAACCACTCCCCATGTCAAAGATCACCGGTATTGATTGTATTGGTCTGGTGTGGAACACTGAGGAGAGTCTGTCTGGTGTACTGACCATCTAGCACACCAGCAGGCAGCCTTCTGAGCCTTTTAGAGGTGGTAGCCGGGTGGGCCTTAAAGTTCCCAAAATGGTTAATTCTGGGCGACTTCAACATCCATGAAGATGCCTCCTC